ATTAGATATCTGGGCTGAGAGAAGGTGACTAGTAACAGATGGTGCTAAGGTTACAAACCTTAAAAGTAGATATTTAAAGTGGATTCTTCCAACTGTAGACCAGGGAGATTGATACCTAATCTTAACAGTTCTAAAATGCATTAGTTAAAGGGATGGTTTGTGTGCATTTCAAGAAGGAAGCTGTAATTGCTGTGAGCTGGCAAAACTTGATCAAAAACAAGTCATGCCAGGATAATCTTGTTTCCTTATCTAATTGACAGATTGATGGGATAGTCTACCTCAGTTTTTGACACAGATTTTGTGGAGAAGGTGGAGATAGATAAACTGAGTGATAGTTCACTTAAATTGATTGAGTCAGTTAAATAATTAGATTTCAGAAGTGGTGATTAATGTCAGCCTGGAGGGAGGTCTGTAGTAGAGTGTCCTGGGCCTCTTATCCTCACCCCTGTTCTGGTCAGTATTTTTGTCATTGATTTAGATAAAGGCATGTATAACATGCTTATTTATTATTATCTATTATTACTTTATTATATTTTATTATGTATTATAATAATATATTATTAATTATTATTATCTGTTTTCAGGTAACACTAAGCTAGAAGGAATAATCAGTATATTAGATGAAAGAATCAGGCTCCAAAGAGATGAGAGGTTCTCAGTAGATTAGAGTAATGGACCAGATCTAATGATGAGATTTAATGGGGATAAATCTAGTCTTAGATTTAGGCACAAAAAACAAATAGTGGAAATATAGAATGACAGACATGTATATACATATAACTATATGTATAGTTAATGTGGGGGAAAAACAGGAAATTTAATAAACCATAAGCACTATTATGTAACATACAGCACTATAGGTGTGTATGTATATGTGTGTATACATGTGTTTATATATGTGTACACACACATACACATATATCTGTCAGGAGACAATGAGGAATTAGGAAGCGGTGCAAGTGAACACAGATGTGCTCAAGTAACATATGAGGAGGTTTCCTCTCTGTTCTGTGGGATAAGCTTATGAAGGAAATGGTTAATTGTGCTGTTCTTCCAAATAGGAAGAGAAATTATATGGTGTCTGGCACTTAGTATGTACTTAATGTCTGTTGAGTGGTGAATAGAGATGTGAAACATTTAGTAGGGTAGAGTAGAAGCTATTGAGAATGCATTGTTTGGTGTTGGTAAAGCATTTGATTAGAATCCAAGTGTATTTAAAGGAGCAACTGGTAATCAGCTGGAGGGGGGAATATGTTTGGCAAAACCTATGTTATTTAGCCTTAGGTTTTCTCCCACTTCGTAATGGGTGGGGATGGGAGGTTAGGAAGGATATGTATTGATTTCGCTGTCAGTCTAATATCTTTAGTTTGTGCCACCCCAGCATTCACACACATCAGATTATAAATTCCTTATGGTCAAAGACTTTGTATTCCCACTACCTTGCCTAATATCTGCTTAATAAAAGGTTGTTGAATGTTGATGTAAGTTATGGTGAGGATAACAACCTGGACAGATCCAGTCTAGTAATGCCTGATTATTATTAGCTATACTGTTGTTTTTGATTCCCTAAAGAAGGTGTCAGTAGTGACACTGGGCATCCATAATTTGGCTCCTGTAACGTAATGTGATCTCTTGTTTCATTTAATAAGTGTCTAGTGTCCAGAACAAGGAAGGTGATAGTCATGGTTAGACTATAATTGAAGTGTTATGTGTAATTCTGGGTGTCACATTTTTGGAAGAGTATTAACTATCTGGAATATATCTAGTGGTGAGTGACCAGGATGATTTCTGGAACTTCAAACCATAGGATTGATTAAAAGAACTTGAAATATTTAGCCTGGAAAGGAAAAGATATATGCAGGTGATGAAAGATTACTGTTTTCCAAACATTTGAAGACGTCGTGGAGAGAGGAGATATATTTCCTTGGCAGAGCCATTAAGCAAATATTATAGAGAAGCAGTTTTCAGTTTGATGCGGCAAGGCTTCCTAACTTTTAGAGCTGGCCAGAAGTAGAACTGACTGTTTTGGAGGGGATTATCAACTAAAAAACATCCATAAATATGAATATTTCCATATACAAAGAAGGATAGAAAAGTTTTGTGTGTGAAACCATAAATCAATTACTTTGTTATTTTTAAGTTTAATGTAGTCACAGTTACATGGCCCTTGTCTATGTCCTGTTATGAATTTCCTTCTGTTCTCTACTTTGAATTTTGTTTCATTAACATTTTTTGCATTGTTACCACTATTTATTCTCTCACTCTCTTCCTCCCTCCCCCCCCTCTTCCCCCCCCCCCCCCCCGCCCCCCCCCCCCCCCCCCCCAACCTTTCCCTTTTAACAAGTAAGTATAGCTAAGCAAAACTGTGTTGTGTTGTTTTAGTTTCATTTGTAAATGCATGTGTCTTTCTGGACCTATAGTCATTTACCTTGCCAAGAGGAGGCATGCTTCATCAACCTTCAGGAGTCATGATTGACTATGGTACTGGAGTTCTTAAATGTTGTAAAGTTATTTTCATTTGTATTATTATGGTCTTTGTATAATTGATTCTGCTGGTTCTGCTCACTTCATTCTGCATCATTTCATACAAATCTTTGTAGTTTTTTTCTGAGTCTATCCCTTTGGCAGTTTGTTATGGTACTGTAATACTCCATTCTGTTCATATACCATAATTTGTTTAGCCATTCCTCCTGACAAGTAACACCTACTTTGTTTCCAGTTCCTTACTTCAATTAAAAAAAATGGCTACTAGAATTGATGTTGTTTTATGGGAACAATTCGTTTCACTGGAAATCTTTAAACAAAAGTTTCTTTTTACTCTGGAATGTTGTAAGGGGAAATCCCTGCTTTAATAGATGCTGGACTAGTTGTTCAGGCCAAAATTAAAATTATGAGTTTCTATACCATATTCTCAACTCTCACAATATCCACATTGTCAAATCTTGTCACTTCTACCATTACAACAAATCTCACATCCATATCTACTACCTACTCAGCTTCGGAATTTCCTCTTTCTCCTTTCCTCCCTTTATCTCAAGTTTATTCTAGCACCCCAAACTCCCTCTGTAACAGTAGGGTTCTTTCAGTATATTTCAAATTAGTTTGAGAAGCATTGGAGTTAGTCTCCAATGTCCTTTCGAAACTCTAAAAATTCTATAAATGTGGTTGCTTTCCATTGTTAATTGATGTGTGAATTTTAAAAAGCAATTAGACTATTTCAGCCAAGGTGATAAAGGTTGGTTATGTAATTGCATAATTTCTTCTTCCTGTTAATATTCCCAAAGGATTACCTAATTTAAATTGAATATGGGCAAAAGAAGAAAACTTTTAACACTTGAAGAAATTCCAATAAAATGGGATTTCCTAAGCCTGGTCTTGATTTTTACTACAGCTTCCAGTCACTCCTTGATTCCTTGCTTTCCTAGTAACACCATCCCTGCTGTGGTCTCATTCTCTTCCATTCCCAGTCTCAGCCCTATAGTTAACCAGTTCAACTTTACATTGTGTTGTACACTGGAATCCCTTGCCTTCCTGACTTGTTGCTACTCATACCTTTCCGAACACCTGACCCTAGTTCAACCCTACCATCTGTCTTACAAGTTCCTACTCCTGTGCTGCTGAATCCTACTAGAGGAAGTCATCCAAGAATGTTGACTGGGTCTACTTCAAATTTATTATCTAATTTTAACTGAGTCTTTTCTACTCCGTGGTAATTATTTTATTCTTCTCTGATTAACTCCCTATTATGCTCTTCACAGTATATGTTTCCTTCCAGTCCTTCCACCTTTAGCAGTACCTTTTCACATACTTTACCAAGAAAATTGAGGCCTACCACCATAAGCTCCCTTTTCTTCTCAGAATTATGTTCTTAAATTCTTTCAACTTCATTCTGTTTTTTCCTCTTTTGTTCCTGTCTTGGAGGACGAGGTGGTCACTCTCTTTGCCAAGGCCAACCCCCTTTGCTTTTGCCTTTGATCCTATTCCTTTCTTTCTCCTCTAAGAGCTTATCCTTTGATCATCTTGTCCTTTCTCCATCTCTCTTGAATTGCAGTTTGTCAACTAATTCCTTCCCTTCTGCCTCCAAATGTGCTAAATTCTTCATACTTAAAAAAATTTCACTTAACCCTGTCATCAACTCAAATTACTATCCTATAGCTATCTTGCTTTTATAGCCAAACTCCTAGTGTTTTTACTCATTTCCTTCCCTTTCTCACCTCTCATTTTTCGAGATTACCAGAGAGCTCTTTGTTACTGGCCTTTTAACTGGCCTTTTTTCAGTCCTCATTCTTCTTGACTTCTTTGTACCACTTAATGGTTATGGCCATACCTTCCTCCTGAATATTCCTGGGTTTTTGTGATACTCCTCTTCTGGTTCTTCTACCTTGCTGACCCTTCTTTTAAGTCTGCTTTGCTGAATCGTTATTGATGTCCTGCCTCTATGTGCATGTGTATACCAGGGCTTTGTCCTGTGCCCTCTTCTGTTTATGTTCTATTTTGGTGTTCTCATGAACCCCCCCTGAATTTAGTGAATCCTGAGATCTCAAGTGCTTAGCACAGGGTCTGGCATGTGGTAGGTGCTTAATAAATGCTTATTGACTTGAAGTGATTGAGTGAAGGTCACTTCACCAGTAGGTGTCTGAATCAGGATTCAAATTCTTATCTTCCTGACTCCAAGTTGAGCCTAATCTATTTGTGTAATGTTCTTAATTTGTTCTTTGTATTGCACACATTTAAAATTAATTCTTATTTTTATCTGCTGTTTGGTATATTTGAAAACTTTGAGAAAATTGGATTTTTATAGTAACCAGATCAATTTATAGAGATAAGCTTTATAGGTATGTGTAAGGTAATTATGACAAGGTGATTCCATTAAGATATCAGTTTGTAAAACTAAAATATACTTTTTATTCTTAAGTTAAACAGAAACATTCTTCAGCGTTGTCCAATTAGAGTTTTATGATGTAGTAGCAAAGTTTTAATCATTTTATTTTGTTTCATAGATTAAGGGAACAAAGGGGCAGGTTACAAGAGCGGATATTCTTCAGGTTGGTCTTCGAGAATTACTGAATGCCCTTTTTTCTAATCCTGTGGACAGTAATTTAATCTGTGCAGTAAAACTACTGAAGGTAGGGTTTACTAAAAAATTTCTCTCATATCTTAATATTCACTGTATCTGTCGTGTTTAGAAAAAAGAAAAATTGAGGCCACATTATATGTGCACATATTAAGTATTTTTATCAAGAACTTCAGATACATTTTACACTCTTATATTGAAGGGCTAAAGGGTAAGCACAGTGCCTGGTATATGCTAGTATACTCCTAGCCCTGGAGTTCAAAACTATATGACCTGTGAACATATCCTGTCTGTAGGAACAGCATAACAACCTCTTCAATTTGAAACATCTGCAGACACAACAAGTTTATGCTGAGCTGATTGTGTGCCCTAGAGAGAACTTCCTGCCCATTATCTCTTCCTCTCTACACTATTTCTTACCTATAAGGATTATCATAAACAGGCAGTGTTAAAACCCTGTTTCTTCCTCACCCCTTTTTTCTTTCTTTTCATTATTCATAGTTCAGTATTTCACCTTAGGCAGTTTTACTATTGGTAACTTTTAGCCTTTCTCTCCCAACCTTTCTTCAGTTACTTTAGAAAAATCTCATTTCGTTCTCCTCCTTTTCCTCTTTTTTTCCTGTTTATGAGCCAATTTAGTTTGTGACTACTAAAAGAATTAGCATGTTAACATCCTGTTCAGGGATAGGGAACTTGTGGGCCTCAAGGCCACATGTGGCCTTCTAGGTCCTTGGGTGCAGCCTTTTGACTGAGTCCAAGTTTTACAGAACAAATTTTTTTATTAAGGGGATTTGATCTGTGAAATTAGGATTCAGTCAGAGGGCCGCAGTTGAGGACCTTGAAGGCCACATGTGACCTTAAGGCCACCAGTTCCCCTTTGAAAGATCCCAGAAATCCCTTTCAGAAATCTGTACAAAAAAGTTTCCATTTGATGTCTCTTACTTCCTCAATTAAAGTTGATTTTCCTGAAGCACTGGCATTCAAGAAAAATTAACCTTTTATTCAGTTTTGTTTTTTATATTTTGGTTTATTGTTGCAGTAGTACTGTTTGTTATTCTTTTTTATGTTAAATGACAATATTCTTGCCTTATAAAGAGTTGAATGAGCTTTTGTGGACTCAAGTGGGCATTTACCAAGCACTTAAATTTTCCCAGAGAAACAAAGTTATACTTGGGACATCTTTAAAAATGAACTTTTGAAACACAGCTCAGTTACACGTGTGGACCTGCTCGTTTGTGTGTGTGGGTGTGTTAATCTTAAATTTTGCAGTTCATAATATCGGTAGCATGTAGCTCTGTAAAATGTCACAAAATAACTGAAATGCTTCTTTTCACAAATAGTTCGTTCCTTTCTATCAAAGAAGGATCTTTATGTGAACAGTGGATAAATAAAGGATCAATTGCAGAAAGAACATTTAACCTTTGTGTTAATTTTTTTCACTTAGGATTTTCATAAACAGAAAATCTTATTTTCTTTTTGACTGAAAAAGTAGAGGAGAAGTTTTAAGATGCAGAAAATATCGTTTTGATTTTGGGGGGGTTTACATTCATAATAAAAAGCATAGGTATATCCAAATTTCACTAATTAAGTGCTATCTAATATATTTGTCTTCTTAATAATCCACTTCATTATAAGAGCTCGGTCACTATAGAAACTAATTTTCAAATTTATTTAAGGATGGAGTTTAATTTTATGGTTATATTTGAATTGTTGTGCCCTTTAGGGCACTCAATACATTTTAAATATTTACTGGAAAAAATTAACCCTTTTTAAATGATTACTGACCTGAAAGTCTAAGTATAAGAGAAATAAAAGCAAAATTGTATATTTATGATTATTAGTGCCATGTGGCTAAAGTTCTCGAATCCAAAATGGAACCATAGCAAGTTGAAGACCGCAAAGTGTAGTATTAGTAATTTTATTAGTCATGAAGAAAAAATTAGGAAAATGAGATGGCTTGCTGTAATGGGAAGAGCAATGGCAACTAGTGCTTTATTTGCTATTAACTAGCAGTGTCATCTTGAGCAAGCCGTTTCATCTCAGATCATCAGTTTCCTCATTTTATAAAATGAGGTTGGGCTAGATCATCTCTTAAAGTTGCTTCTGGCTCAATGATTCTTTGGTATTTCTCAGAGAATGTTAGGAATGCAACTAATAATCTTGCTTTTTTTTATATATAGAATTTCTGTAGTTTACTGAATTCTTTATTTTTACTAATAACCTGCTTTCTTAGTTGACAGGGTCAGTTTTGGAAGATGCATGGAAGGAAAAAGGAAAGACAGATATGGAAGAAGTGATTCTGAGAATTGAAAATGTTGTCCTAGATGCAAATTGCAGCAGGTGGGAAGAGAAGTGACATAGATAGCAGCCTAATTTTAATGCAGTTCATCCCTACTTTCTATTTGTGGGGTGTTTTGTTTTACTATACTTTTTTTTAGGGACATTTTATGTTAAGAGTAAGTGAATTCACTATGTTAAATATTTTGCAGAGATGCAGAAATTTTTCTTCAAAGGATTACTACTTTATTGATTGACCTTTGCTTTAATTCTTTGTGCTGTACCCCTTCCCCTACAATCAGTTTAAAAGCGTAGCAAGATGTATAGATACCTGACTGACAGAGTGAGGTGTTTATTAGTGTGGTAACTAGGTAAAATTTAGCCTCATTAAAAATGTTTTCATTGCAGTTATAATTTAATTTTGAACTTGGATTGTAATAATTCAGTCAGCAACTTCTAATATTTCTTGGGTCTATAACTATTTACCACATTAACAAATACCAAGATTTATATTGTCATATCAGTAGTCAGATGTATACCTTCTATTAGAAGTCCAGTATATTTAATTTCACAAATAAATTCTAGTATTCTTACATATTTTTTCATAAATGAGACAAAAACAGGTAACATAAGGAAATAAGTCAAGAATTTCCTATTCATTCAGCACATTTGAATATCTATGATGCTTTGCCCATTATAGAGTATTAAAAAAAAATGGCGTAGTCTTTGTCCTCAGACGACTGAATAATGAGTGTGAACTAGTGATGGAATTCTAGAGCAGAGTTCAAAATATAGTTTAATCCAGGCCTTCATGTTCATTGAGGTTGTAAAAATTGAGATAAGATGTTGACTATATAGGAAAAATTCAGAAGGTAAGGATTTTGAGCAGCAAGGCCAAATAAAACCCTAACATTTTAAGGACTTTGAGAAACTAGATTACATGTTACTAGATTTCAAGAAAATTTCCATTATTCTTCTAATGTACTATAAACTTTTGTTTACTGCAGAGATGTAAAACAGATGCTTTTGAAGCTAGTAGAACTCCGATCAAGTAACTGGGGTAGAGTTCATGCCACCTCAACATACAGAGAATCAACACCTGAAAATGATCCTAATTATTTCATGGTATGACAGTGTACAAAATTGAAATACTTTATTTGGGGTATGAATCATAATTTTAAATTTAATACATTTGCTATATTATTTGTCCCCCAAATTTCATGTTAGCCAACTGTTATTACTTTCTTACATACAAAGTAGCAACCAAAACCATGCATAAATGAAGGAGTAGGAGTGGCCTAGATAAGGGGAATAAATACCAGATTTGTGGGATATTAGAACTATAAATCTCCAATACATTTTTATAGACTACATATTTTTATCTGCTCCTACAAGCTTACCAACATAGACAGTCAATGATTTGTCTTTTATCAATATTTTCTTAAGAAGCAATAACTGAATAAACTAACGTGTATTCCATAATATTTTACCATTTTAATTCTAGAATGAGCCAACATTTTATACATCTGATGGCATTCCTTTTACTGCTGCTGATCCAGGTATGTTGTTTTAATAATGTTTTCTGTAAAGTAGATGAAAAAAAGCATTAAATCAACCAGTCAGATATTTATTAAGATTGGTTGATTTTATGCTTTTTGTCCATCTGCTTTGGGGAATTTTTAAAAAGAAAACAATTTTACTGACTTTCTTATAATATATATGTAGGAAATCAATAAGACATCAATTTCTCTTGTATACTTTCACTGTAGAAGTAAAGTGTAACTAGAGTTTTTGGAAGTTTGACTATGTTGGAGACGTATGACCTCTTATGTTTTTTGAAATAATAGCATTGTTAACCCATAGATCATCTAATATTTGACATGATTAGTTCTCCTAAATAATATACATATATAGATAAAATGCTAGTTTTTATTTTATTATCTTTATTACATAAGCTTCTTTTACCTGAGCCTTAGTAAGATGTAAAAACGTGTGTGTGTGTGTGTGTGTGTGTGTGTGTGTACAATCTTACTATTGACAGAGCAGTTAAAAATACAAAAGAATTACTTGGCTTTGTAGAATATATCACTATTCTGGGAACAGATTTATCTTATTGGTTATATTTTATATAAGGCTAATATTAAAATTATTTTGCATTATGTTGACATACAGGGAAGGAAGTGAGGGGTGGATGAAAGCAAGCCAGGTAGATAACTTAAATGCATTTATTTATTTTGGCACTTCTTAAGTGCCATAAAAACATTTGTCTTACCAGTCTTAACTTTGAAAAAGTTCCATTAATGGAAGAATGAGAAATTGTGGAGGATAGTAGAAATATGTTCTCATTGGTCAGTTGTGTAGGATTAATGGAAATTGTGTTCATAGAATCATAGATTTAAAACTGAAAGGGACCTTAGAGGTCATCAGGTCCAACTCCTTCATTTTCCAGGTGAGGAAACTAAGGCCAAAAGAGATTAAGTGACTTGCTTAGGGTTATGTAGCTAGTTAAGTGTCTGAAGCAGGATTTGAGCCTTTTTCTCTCTGACTTCAAATCTATTGCGTTATTCACTATAACATAACATTTTGTTTTTCTGTTTCTTCTAGTACTAGTATTGGAAGAATTCCAAATTCTATTTTCTTTTTGTTCCAATACTAGTAAATACTAGTAAACTACCTACTGAAGTACATGAAAGATGAGTATGTCATTTATTTTACTGGTGAACTAAAAAACTAATCCAGTAGAATAGGCCACAGTTACCAAGCCCTGTAGGCCTATACCATAGTATAGATATAGTACCTGATCATATCGATTCTCTCTGACACAGAAACACCCACATGGCCATTCATTCAAAGCAATAATAACACATAAAACCAGGAATAGGAACAAAGGGCCCCCTATTAAGTAGATAGTCTTCTAGTGTCCTTAATTTGTATCATGTACTTTAATCTAGCTTTTGTCCTATATATTACTTCATTCAAAAAGCACTTTCTGTGTTCGAGGCATCATTAGTTGTTATGAGAATACAAAGGAGAATACAACATGGTCTCTACCTTCATGTAGCTCATTTTCAAATGGTGTTTACATTTTCAAATAATATTTCGGGCATACAAAATCCAGCAGCAGGCTAGTTCTGTAGCTTGAAGGGGCTGTAGTTTGCCAACCTCTGGTTTAGAAGGAAAGATAAAATAATACACAATAAAGTGGAATGCAGTGAGAAATGTATAAAATGTTTTTTAGGGTTGAAGAATTTCCTTCTGTATGAGAGATTAGGTAGACTTCATGGAAAAAATAGTATTTGAGCCTAGGATCTGAAGTACATAGGTAGGAATTATAATACCAGACAACTTTAACTCCACTCCCATTTTCCATTTAAGCCTTTTCCAGAATGTAGTGACTTCTTTTGATGAGACTCATGAGTTGATAGGATATTTAATAAAAAGCATGCAAGGAATTTGTTCATTCATGTCAGACCTAAAGTATCTTATTTTTAACAGAAACAGAAAAAAACTGATTTTTCTTTCTACGAAGCATCTGTGGTAGAGCTTTCTTAAAATGTTCTTAAAATATAGTATAAGAATACTATACCATGTGCTACCTGAAGGATCTTTATAAATGGTGGATATTACATTAACATTACTAATAAGAGCTAACATTTATTTAGCACTTCAAAATTTGCAAAGATCTTTACTTGCATGTGTCATCTGATCTTTCAGCAACCCTGTGAGGTAGATGAATAGTCTTTATTTTATTGATAAGGAAACAGTCTCATTGAGTTGCCAAGGGTACCAAAGTTCTAGTGTCTGAGCCAGCATTCAAATTCAGGTCTTCTGCTTCCAAGTTCATCACAAGCCTGTATTCTTACGCTTGGTTGTTAGGCTACATATTGCTTATCATAGGGGCTCTTAACTTTTTTGTGTCCTAAATCTCTGTCAGATGAAGCCTATGGATCCTTTTTCAGAATGTCTTTAAATCCATAAAATAAATAGTATTACAAAAGAAACCAGTTGTACTGAAATACAGTGAACAAAATATTAAAAGCAAAAAAAATTTACAGACCTCAGGTTAAGAACTGCTGGGTTAAAAGTGTTTTTCAGTCTTGGCAATATTGCCTACCAGGTATAAACTATGTTTGTAAATTCCAGAGTTATCATTGTCCCTCTTCTTGAGCTACTATTTATTGTCTTCAACAGGATGATGTATCTTTAGCATAATTCGCATTTGAACAGCAGAATTAAATAAATTATTAGATGATATTTAATCAACAATATTAATAAATCTTACCTTTTTTCAATTAGTTCACTTGATAAAAATGTAATGGTAATAACAAAATTGGGGTTAGAGTTCTGTTCCCACAGAAGCTATTTAGTTTTGTTTCTCCATTGTCCCAGGCTCTATCCCGACCTGAGATAACCCACAAAAGAGGGATGGGCTGAAAGTGTGTGGATTAATTCAATTTTTCACTACTATTAGGAAGAAAAGAAACCCAGCATGTCACACAATTATAGGTGAATTACTTAGAAATATTTGCATATAAAGATTTTTTTAAAGCATCTTAAGCTGTGATATTTCTCTTTTTTATATAGATTATCAAGAAAAGTATCAGGAGTTACTTGACAGAGAGAATTTCTTCCCAGATTATGAGGAAAATGGAACAGACTTATCAGGGGCTGGAGATCCGTATGTTTCATTTGTAGCTGATTTTTTTTTCTATAAAACATCTCTCTATGGCAGAGCTTTCTTAAAATATTCCATCATTCTTATAAAAAGCATTTTAGATGAATTTGTTGTCAGAAAACTAGATGTTATGGGGCCATATGTTTTGATTACTTAGAGTTGTATTTGTCTGTTTCCTGGTGTTTAACACATGACAATTTAAAAAAATTTAAGCTTAGTAATTATCAACTAAAAACAAACTTTATAAAACTGTAAATATTTGCTATTTACAGTTTGTCTCAGAAAGTAACTTTAAGTGAAAGATAAGAAACATCTTTGCTTCCATATTCCCTTTGAAATCTTGTTTGTATTTTCAGACTTTTATAGCTGTTACTATTTAAATAATTTTTAGCAAGTATGTATATTATTTTCATTCCTATTTTCTATAAGGGTTTATATATTTCTTTGGATTCTTTATGTTTATAATTTCTTTTGGTAGAATAGTAATACTTTACTTTAATATACCACAGTTTTATTCAGCCATTTCTCAGCCATTTGACTTAATGTATTTTCAGTTTTTTGCTAGCATAAATAATGCTGCTAAAATATTTTTGTGCAAAGTCTTCTCCCATAAATAATATCCCTTCAAGTATGTTCCTAGTAATGAGGTCACTGGATCAAAAAGTAACCATAATTTTGTAGGTATTATATGATAGCAGTGCTTGCTTCATTTTATTTATAAAAAAGAAAATGTTTTCTCTATCATGATGCTTAAAATGTGAGCCTCTCCTCTTCAAAAATATTCATTCTAAAACATTGTATTTTTGTACTTAATACTTTTAAAATTGTGTGAACAGATACACATAACTAATGTCTTGCTCTTAAAATAAGTACAGAGTGTTTATTCTGAGTAATCTTATTAATATAAAAAGGATCTGTGATGTTATTGGTGTCCTTATGTGGGAATGTAAGTATTAGATAAGTCTTGGGAGTAGTCTAAGACACAAAGATTGCACAACTGTTGTCAGGGGTAGAATTTGAATAATACTCTGCTATAATGTAGCTATACTCTAAGACTCGGTGTGAAGGGTAAATTTTGAAGTTAGTAATAACAGTAAGCATTATATAGTAGAATGACTCACTACAGTGTAGGAGCCAAGAGAGACGAGTTCTAACTCTACTCTGTTGCTAACAGGTTGTGTGTCATTGGCCAAGTCATATAACCTCTCCAGACCTCAGTTTACTGGTTTGGGCCAGTGGATGGTCTAAGATGCTCTCTAAGGTTACTTTCTACCCTAGAAGTCTGATTCTAAGTAAATGCTATACATAGTTCAGCTATATCAATTGTGGAATGGTCTTTTTAGTGAGATTAAATTTCTAATAAGTAGCAGATGATAAAGCATCATTAAAAGTCAAATGGCAGAGCCAAACTGATGAGATATTATAAATCTAGAATTCTGTGTTTGGAATAGTAGTTTATGCCATATTGTTATCAAATCAGATAGATATTTATGGAATTAGTTTTTTTAAAATAGGTTGTTGGAGACAGAGTTTTTGATGAAATATTTTTATAAGTTGATACAGTTTAGGTTTTAACATGAATTTGAGACGAGAACTTCAGGAAGTAGATAACGAACTGTTTCAGTGTCTTAGAATTGAAGCAGCTACTTTCTGAATAAATGATAGGTATATAAATAATTTAGAATCATCATTGCTTCTTTTACAGATACTTGGATGACATTGATGATGAGATGGACCCAGAAATAGAAGAAGCCTATGAAAAATTTTGCTTAGAATCAGAGCGTAAGAGAAAACAGTAAAGTTAGATAAAAAATCTTTATAAGGCAGTTTAGGTATGGTGATTAGCAAAACAGAAGGAAGCAAGGAAACATGTCACATTTATACCAAATTAAGGATGTTGAGTTTAAGTTACTAATGTATGCAACTTTAATTTTGTTTAACAATATCTGCCAAAAAAAAAGTAAACTTATTTCCTATAACTTAAATTGTGTATATATCATAGTTTATTATGTACATATTATGAACTGTTTTGGCTGCAATAAAATTTATTTGAAATAAGTGACATGTTGAAAGAAAACTTTACTGATTAGAAGCTTATCTTACTAAAATAAAATACTATTTTCCTTGAGAAAAATAAACCTTAGTTTTTACATTACTACATAAATGTAGCACCCTTTTTATTAGCTATTAATAATACAATTTTAGGTTAAGAAGTATCCACTAACAAATTGGGTCTCAAATATGAATCATAATCATGAAAAAAGCTTTAGTGTCCAGAGTTTGAAATCATTCTTAACAACTGATGTTACATATGCAAACTAAATACTACTTAGGTTACCAGGGTCTTTAAAAATTTTTAGTTTGTGAAAGAAAATTGACAGCTAAAGCATTTTATACGAGAAAGCTCAAACAACCATAGTGCTTCTGTGATAAAATTATTTCAAGAACAAAGTTAAGCATACATTTTCTGCTACTTTGGCAGCTTTTTCTTTTTTTCCTTTTTAAATCTACAAGCTTAATTTTTTCACATCACTAACTTGATTATCCTCCAGAAAAGAACTGGAACATTATCTTTTGATTTAATTTATATAACTTCTTCAGTTTCATTTTGTAGTATTGGAAATTTTGTACTTGAGAATTTTAACAGGTTTATTTACCTACTACTTATAGTTCCGGGTATTTTTTTCTGCTTTATAATTTTTAAAGAGAGTCATTTTTCTCTAATAATCCTTTAATTTTAGTTTGGTTGTATACTGATGAGTAATTTAAGAAAGTTGCCTACCAAACTTGAACCTGTACTTATTTCCAACTTCCTAAAAGTAGGTAAAAAACAAAAACTTATGTATAAAAAAATATTGTAAATATGCATGTAAATAGTTCTGTTAATAATGCACTGTAACACATTTGGAACATTTATTTGTGTCAGTTAATAATACAGTTAGCTTTCTGACTAAATTTTCTGCCTGTTTATTTGTTGAACATAATAGTTTAAAATGATTTTTTTTTTTAATAAAGAAGAGTTTGGGTTTCTTTAAATGAAGTTTTGTAGTGGTTGCCAGGTTTTGTTTTGTTTTATTCTTAAATTGCTTTAAAAGAGCTTGTCCCACATGTGACATGTTAGAATAAGTAAGATTCTTATCTTTAAACTTTGACTATACTGACCAAAGAGTAATTTATTTTTACTTATTTCTTAAGTGTTCTATTGATGTTTTTCTAGTATTGCTTTACTTCCCATTACTTCCCCAAATCACAACCATCACCACCAATGGGAACTCTCTCTTGTAACAAAGAAGTACAGTTAAGCAAAACAAATAAACATATTGGCCATGTTTTAACAATATGTGCCTCTTTTCCACACTTAAATTCCACCAGCTCTGAATTATGCTTCACTTGCAGTCCTCTAAAGTAAAAATTGATCTTTTCAGTGTTGTTTTCCTTTATATTATTCCAGTAATCTAAAACAAATGTTTATGTGAAGGAAAAAAAAACCTTTTTTTCTACCTAGCATATAGCTGAAAAAGAAGCTCCACCAAGTGCCACAACAGCATTTCAAAATATATACCATAATGCCTAGGTATTAAGGAAGTGTTTCTCAAACTAGAACTCAGGTTAGCATTCCAAGTAGGTCTTTGAGATCATTATAGCTGTGAATATTACTTGTAGCTTTCAAATTAAAACTGTAATATCTTCAGATCCAACATTTCCCTCAAACCACATTTCCCAATACCAAGTTACGTGCTGGTTATCTCCACCTGGATGTTTCCATATAACTTGATCAAACTCAACATGTCCAAAATTTAATCATCTTCTCTTGAAAACGTGCCTTTCCTCCAGACTTGAATGTTTTTGGTACTATTAACTCTATATGCATGTCCTCAAAATTTCACTTACTTTCTTTTCTCTCCCCTACTCCTTCCCTATGACTAATCAAATGCTTAAGTCCTAATTGATTCTTTCCCAGGGAAAAAAGAAAAACCTCTTCAATCCATTGCCTTTTCTTTTAAAAAAATATTTCTGCTTCCATTTCCCAATAACCCTTCCTTCCCTGAAACAAAACTTTTGTACATTCGTAAGCAACGCATTGGCTGTGTCTGAAAACTGAAAGATGAAAAGGATGCTTCACTTTTTACTCCTGAAGTCATGATTGGTCTCTGCATTGATCAGAGTTCTAAAATCTTTCAACATTGTTTTCCTTTACAGTATTATGGTCATTGTAGTGTTTTCCTGGTTCTCTTTACTTTGCTCTGGATTAGCTTTTACAAGTGTAACCAGGGTCCTCTGAATTTTTCATATTCAGCCATTTCCCTATCAATGAGCACCTATTTTTCTTCTAGTTCTTTGCTACCACAGAGTCACTGTCGGTATTTTTGTGCATATGTGACTGTTGCTTCCTTGTTAGATAAGCCTATTGGTCATATCACTAGGTCAAAGGACATGTACTGCTTCACTTAGTGACATTTTGAAGTATAATTCTAAAATTTTTTCAGAATGGTTGGACCATTTCAAAAGTCCACCACCGATGTATTAGTGTACCTATCTTCACAGCTTCTCTAATAACATTTACCATTTTTGTCATTGGTCATTTTTACATATCTAGTGAGGTGGCATTGTTTTCATTTGCATTTCTCTTATTGGAGGCAGCTATGTACCAGTGTATAGAATGCTGGACTTGGAGTCAAGAAGACTTTAAGTCCATGTTCAGCCTCAGGCTATAACTGTTTGACCTTTTGCAAGCTGATCTTTCTCAGCTTCGGTTTACTCTTCTGTAAAATGGGGATAATAATAGTACCTACCTCCCAGAGTTATGAAGATAAAATGAGGTATTTGTAAAGTACTTTGCAAATATTAAAGTTTAATCTTACACTAAGTGCTAGGTATTATTATTCATGACTGGGAGCATTTTCTCATGTGCTTGCTGATAGTTTTGAAAATTGCCTGTTCGTATACTTTGACCACACAGGTGTCCTTTCATTCTTCTTCCTTTTTTTCACTGTAACCACCCTACTTTAAATCCTCATTTTTCATTTAGAAAATTGTAATTGACTCTTAGCTCTTGTTCCTGCTTCTAGTGTATCTTTTCTCCAATCCATTTTAAGCATTTCTTACTTGGATAATTTTCCTAATGCACTAGTCTGATCCTGTGCCCCAAAATCTTACCCATTGAGCAAATAACCTACAGGTCATGGTATACAAGATCCAACAATCTGGCTCCAACCTACCTTTCCTCATCTCATACTACCTTAATCAACTTCCCAGTCTAAATGGATCATTCTGTATTTTCCACCTGACCTCTTTTGTCTTTGGTCTTACCTTTACCCCGTATTTGAAATGGGCTTCTTCCCTCCCAGTCCCATTTTTCGAAGACCCAACCTAGGGACCACCTCCCTGTTTCCCACAGCTGAGAGTGGTCATACCTTCAAGTCACTTGTTTAATTATCTCTTAGATTATAAGCTCCCTAGAGCAGCATGGTAGAAAGATGATTTGGAATCAGAAAATCTAGTTTTGAGACCTTTTTATTACTTGTGACCTTGGTCAACTCAACTGTCTTTGAGCCTGTTACTCGAAATCACTTTAATTATGACATCTGAAGGTACCTCTTTTGCCATTTAAGTACAACCCTTAATTAGAAAAGGAAATCCTCCATGACATAAGTGGTCATCTAGTTTCTACCTAAAGGCCTTCAGTGAAGGTGAATGCAGTTTCATTGAGGCAGCCTGTTTTACCTTGAGATACCCCTAACTGTTAAGTATTTTCCTGTGGCCTAAATTTTCCCCTTTGTGATTGCCAACCCATTGCTGCTTCTGCTACTCCTAGGCCAAAGTGAACAAGCATAATTGCTCATCCCCATGACAGCTTTTCAAACACTTGGAACACAATTATCACATAAATAAGTCTCTTCTTCAGGCTAAACAGCCCCAATTCTTCTGTTGCTCTTCATTTGACATAGACTCCACTGAGCTTGTTGCCCTCTGCGGGATACTCTTCACCTTGTCAATGTCCTTCCTTAAATATGGCACCCAAAACTGATCACAATAACCCCACGTATGTTCTGATTAGGCAGAGTACTGCTCTTCTGTAAGCATGGTCATTAAACTTATCATAATGCAGCCCAAGATCCCTTTAGCTCTTCCGGCTAGTATATCATACTACTGACTCACTGGGCTTGCAATCCACAAAACCCTCCAGATCTTTTTTCAGACAAACTGCTTTGTAACAATGGTTCTCTCATCTCGTTAAAAGTTGGTCTTTAAAATCTGTGTTAAACTTTATTCTTATCCCAGTTGAGTTTCATCTTTTTAGATTCAACCTAGACTGTCAATATCTTTATTAATATTGACTATCATCCCTTGCATTAGTTGCCTTTCTCTGCTTTCTGTCATTTGCATATTTAGTAAGGATGCCACTATACTTCTATCCAAGGAGTTGACAAAAATGTTAAAACAACTTGGCCTAGTTCAGATCCCTAAAGCACTCCACCTGAGAATATTCCAAATTGACACTGAACCCTTAAATATCATTATTTTGAATCCAGGAACCAGTACTTAATCCATCTGATTGTACTACTGCTTTAATCCCACATTTTTCACAAGAATTTTCTTTTTTTTTTTGCTAAAACCTTAGGTGAACTAAATATCTTCAGCATTCACCTGATCTACTTTGTAATCCTGTCAAGTACATTAGTCTAGCATGATTCTCTTGATGAAGTCTCTTTTGAAGACTTTTTATCATCACTGTTTCCTTCTAAATATTCATCAATTGTCTCATTAATAATTTGTTCTAGAATTTTCCAGTAATCTACATCTTGCTTAGTAGCCTATAGTTTGCAGGTTCATAATTTTACTTTTTTTTCCAGACATATAAAACTCTCCCATTCTTTTACAGTCTTTTAAAGATCATTATACTAACTTAGTAATCATATTTAATAGTTCTTTAATTATTCAAAGTCAAAGTTCCATCTGGACCCAGTGACCTAAAATCAAAGGCAGTTTAGGATTTTTACTCTCTTTTATTTATATTGGGTATCAACTCCCTTTTAGCTATTGTTGTTCAATCTTTTCAAATGCGAAAGTCCTCCTTGGCCAAAAAAAAAAAAAGGCCACACAGGTGCAGTGGGAAAAGCTGTAGCTCTGGAGTCTG